GCTTCCTGGTGCCGCCTCTGGGGCCGAGCAGGAGCCCGGCACCGCCTCCCAGCTCCCCGCCCCGTGAGGTCTGAGTCAAGCGGCTGGGACGTGATAGTGAAGCGCTTCGGGTGGGCAAACTGCGGCAGGGTGGCCCTGTCTCCTGAGCCAGGCCGAGCATCCAGGATGTGCAGAGACCCAAATCGACCTTCCCCGGAGCTGGAGAAGCCCTGTGTGAGCCTTGTCGCTGCGGCTGGGGCTGCGCCCAAAGCCAGGTGTCCGCCCCAGGCCTGCAGCCCTCGGTGTGAAGGCTCAGGCCCCAACCCAGCAAGGCTTGCCCACCCAGGCTTTCACACAGCCCCTCCCCCAGGGCCAGCCCTGGGGCAGCCGAGCCTCCTCTCTTCAATTGTCTTGACCACCAGTGAAAGGAGCGACCTAGTGCAAGTCACAAGCCACTCCCTCCTTTCGGGATCCCTCCCTGAAGCTGCACATAAAAGGTTTCTGTTTCCCCTTGAGAGAGGCATCCCCTGCCAGGTGCTGCCCACACCACCTCCCTCGGCGCCTCTTACTCCCGCCCTGGCTCTGACTCTCCAAGATGGGCTGGCTGAAAATAATGAAAATAGGCTCAAAACGGAATGTCAGCCAGGCATGGTGGCGCACGCCTGTAATCCCAGCACTCAGGAGGCTGAGGCAGGAGGATCCCTGCGAGTTCGAGACCAGCTTGGGCTACATAGTCAGTTCCAGGTCAGTCTCAACTACATAGTGAGACCCTGTCTCAAGAAAAAAAAAAAAAAAGGAATGTCATATGAGAGGTTAAAGAAAATGTAGTTTTTCTATACAGTGGAGTACTACTCTGCCATGAAGGATGAGCTTCAGACATTCAGCTACATGGATGGACCCTGAGACCATGCTCCTAAGTGAAACAAATTGGACACACAGTTTAAACACCACATTGTTTCTCCAGTGTGAGAAAATGAAAGTGGAAATAAAGACTGAAATGTGTAATGGATTTCGGGAAACGGGAAGAGAGTGTTCACATGGGAAGGGAACAAGGGAGGAGGGAGGAAGGAAGGAAGGGACAAGAAAAAAGTGGAAATAGAAGGAAAAATGGAAACAAAGCTTCTGTACATAGGGAGGGGAGGGAGACTGAGCGGGGAAGGGGATAAAATAAAATCTATATCTCAAAAAAAAAGGAATATCAGAGACTCACAGGGGAGTCCTCTCCCATCAGGGCCCCCAGCCCCAGCTGGCCTGTCCTCCAGGGTCCACCAGCAGGGCTGGGCAGCCATCTGAGCCCCTGCCCAGGCCTATGGAAGGGGGCTGTCAGCCCCTTGGCCTCCTGGAGGTTCAGGGGAGCAGGAGGGAGGAAGGCTGCCGCAGGTCACCTGAGGGAGGCGGGACTGGCCACACCTCCCAGCTCAGCCCACCCCAAAGTTAGCGGCCTCACCTCAGCTCCAGGCAGCCCCACCCACCTGGGTGGCCCCAGGTGACCTGACTCACATCCTGCTACCTAGCCTAATTGTCCCCCTTCTCAGGCATCCCTCCCACCTCTTGTGGCAGACCCTGGCACTAGGTGCCGCCTGCCACCTGTGAGAGCCCGGGGGAAGGGTTCTGCCCCAAAGGAGTTGGGGAGAGAAGTTGAGGAAGCAGGAAGATGTGGAGGAGGAAACAAGGGCCAGACTCCAGGCCCCACCCGCTGCTGGCTTCCCAACCCGTCGTTCCCCTCCCACCCCAAGGTACACCAGCCTTGAGTGAACCTGATCAGCCATCAAATGCCCTTTGCTGTTCTGTCTAGGTAGCAGCCTCTGGCCAAGAGTCTTGGGTCAGTGTCGTGACACCTCCAGGAGCCTGGATGCAGCCAGTAGACACAGCACAGATTTGGGTGGTTGCATCCCAGCTTTATTCTCCTGTCCCTTGAGTCCCAGCTAAGGGACTCAAGCAGTCCAGGCCATACTCCCACTCCCCAGGGAATGGGTCTTGGCTCTGAATCTGGACCGGACAGGGTGAATTCTTGCCCACTGCAGACAACCTTCTTCAGCATGGGGATCCCCCAGATACTGCCTCCTCGGTAATGGCTGAACAGCAGAGCCAGGGCCCCAAGAAGGAGCCAGTCGTGGGGACCCTCCAGCCCCTCTGTCCACAAGTTGGTCCAAGCTCCATCCAAGGTCCCCAGTGTGGGTAGTGGAGGACCTGGGAACCCAGGCCTCTTTGTCCAAGGAGTCCTCCTGGATGCCCTGGTCCCCTGAGCTCTTGAGCTGCCCGGGGCCTCTGCTAATACTCCAGCGGCGGGAGAGCTGAACTCCCATGGTCCCCACCACATCACTGGCTGAGGGATGGGGTGAGGGGACGTTTCTCCGGTTCCTGCTCCTTGAGGCCTGCAGGGAAAGGCTCAGCTCAGGCCTCACAGCCACCAAGGTGGCAACATCCTACGGCTCCTGCTCACCCTCCAGTGCTCCTGAGCATAGTCACTCCCTAGCGTCCCAAGGCGGAGGGGCTTGTGAGGCTGAACGGCTGAGACAGGTCTGAACCAGCACGTGCTCACATATGAAATGACCACCGAACCAAGACTTAATGTGGAAAAATGTCAGATGTCTCACTGGCGACTTTCAACACTGACTACACGATGAAATGGCAATCACTTAAGCATATTGAGGTGAATAAGATACATTATTTCTGGGTGTGGTGGCACACCCCTATATCCCCAGTGCTTGCAGGCTGAGGCAGGAGGATCACGGAAAGTTCAAGGCCAGCCTGGACTACGTAGTGAGTTCAAGGCCAGCCTGGACTACATAACAAGACCCTGTCCAAAAAATAAACAAACAAGGGCCGGGGATTTAGCTCAGTCGTTCTGGTGCCTGCCTCAGAAGTACAAGGGCCCAAGTTGGATCCCCGGTACCAAATAAATAAATAAGACAAGTTATCAAGATGCATTTTACCTATTGTCTTTCACCCCACTTTTTCTTCTAAGTACTGGAAACTGAAGTCTGGGCCTTCTCACTGAGTGAAATCCCTAGACCAGTTTTATTTTTTGAGATAAGGTCTCAATCATTTGCTAAATTGTACAGGCTGGTCCCAAACTTGTGATTTTCCAGCTTCCGCTTCCTAGAATACTGGAGTTACAGGTGTCTGCCACCCTACTGGACTTTGTTTCCTTTCGCTGATGAGGCTACTAGAAAAGTCAAATTGTACTTTTTTTAGGCAAGGCTGTGGCAGGCTCTGATTGTTTGTTTGCCGTGTGACCCCCAACCCCAGCATGTCCTTGCTGTGTCTCAAATAGCACACCACTTGGTACTTGGTCTAAGATCGCCGTCTGATGAAAGGTGGGCGGATGGGGACCCAGGAAGGATAGGTACCGCTGCTCCCCCAGACCCCACTCACTCTCTCGGTCGGCATCTGCTTCACGTTCCTCGAGGGTTTCAGCTGAGCCATCCCATTCCACACCTGATGGACACAAAGCAGCCACTGGGCCCGGGGACCAGGGCAGGGACAGACACAGGATGGGAAGGAAGCTCCCTCACCCAAGATGATGGGCCCACAGGGAGCGGCGGGCTCTTCACCTTTGCTGTGGGTGCTAGGTGCTCCCAGGGGGCCTGGACGGCGCTGTCGGAATCTCTGACGGGGCGTGTCCCCGGGGCTAAAGGACTCGGAGCTTCTCCCCGGGGGCAGCCGGGAACTGAGTTTCCGCCGCTGCCCGCCGCCAGCCAGGGTCTCTCGCAGGCAGAGGGAGCTCTGCGCCCGACGCATGGGTGCTGGGGAAGGGACCCCTGCAAGAGGCGCACATCCGGGGGGTGTTGGGGTGCAGGGAGGGGCCCCCAGCAGCGGGCTGTGAGTGACGGTACACGGGATCTGGGAGAGAGGTGCAAAGCGGGGGGGAGGCGGCAGGGGGGCAGAGGCAGCCCCCCGCAAGAATGGGCTCTGTGCTGACTCGGACACTGACTCACTGTGTGACCTTGGGCAAGACACCTGCCCTTAGAGGCGCACATCCGGGGGGTGTTGGGGTGCAGGGAGGGGCCCCCAGCAGCGGGCTGTGAGTGACGGTACACGGGATCTGGGAGAGAGGTGCAAAGCGGGGGGGAGGCGGCAGGGGGGCAGAGGCAGCCCCCCGCAAGAATGGGCTCTGTGCTGACTCGGACACTGACTCACTGTGTGACCTTGGGCAAGACACCTGCCCTTCCTGGGTCTCAGTTTCCTCATCTGCTGCTAGGATAGATGCCCTCTTCCTGCCACTCCCAGGCCCCAGCCTCTGCCATGTATGAGGTAGGACTGGGTTGGTGGCAGCACGGCTAAGAGGAAGGTGCCAGTGAGAGGGTCCCTTCAGGGCCCAGGCTAAGGAGCTGCTGAAAGCATCTGGGCAGGCAGAGGCACAGGCACAGCCAGGCAGAGAGGCACAGGCCAAAGGTGCACGGGGGAACATAGAGAAGGCAGACCCTGGCCCCCAGACCCACCTGTCCCGTCTGCTTCCCTGCCCTCAGGGAGCTCCGTCTTTGGGGGGCCCCCCAGGTTCTCGGTGCTGCCAGCCCCATCGGCCCCCAGGCGTGGCCCCCCGTGAGGGGCCCCCTCCCGCCAGGGCCGCATCAGCCTCTTCACCTTGTCTGCCAGCCAGCTGCCCTTCCTGGGGGCAAGAGGGCACAAGAGAAGGTCAGGACAGGGAGGAAGGAGAGGAGGGTTGTGTCAGAGATTGCAAAGACCAGGCCGACGCTCCCTGAGGCCTGTGCCTGAGCTAGGCCAGGGGACACAGGGGAGGGGGCACGGACAGGGTCTCAGCCAAGACCCTGGAGCTGGAAGGGGGGAGTTTGGCGGGGTCCTCACTTGGTCCGGGGCAGGGGCCCAGGCTCCAGCACTCGGTACTGGTCCATGATCTTTTCTACCAGCTTCTGCTTCTCACGGCGAAGAGCATTAAGCTGGTCTCTGGTGGGAGGGGAAGAAAGGGGTGGACATGAGGCCCAGGGTGGCCAGGCTGGGCAACCTTGCTGCAGGTGTGACCAACCAGTGCTAGTCAGCCCCACTGGTTTTCCTGGGACCTCCCGGGGCGCCTAGGGGGATGCCCTGGCCTACTCACAGGTACTCGCGCTGCTCCCGATGCAGGTGATCCCGGCTCTCCAGACTGCGCTCCAACAGCTCCCTGTTCTCCCGGCTCAGAGCCTGCACCTCGGCCAGCAACTGCCGGTTCTCCTCCTCCTGGGCACTCCGCAGCTCTGTCAGCAGCTGAAGGTATTGGCACCAGGCGAGGATGAGCTGGCTCATGAAGACCTGGGCCACTGTCCCCAGACACCCTCCGCTCAGCCGCCCTAGGCGCCCACCTGCCCCACCATCGCACCTCACATTGTGTGGCCAGCCGGCAGGCGCTCAGGTCCAGCTGCTGGTTGGCCTCACGCAGCTGCTGGCTCTGCACCTCCAGCTGTGCCCTCTCCAGCTCCAGCCTGGCCAGCCGCCCCTTCAGCTCCCCACGCTCACCCTGCAGCTCCCCACGTTCCCGAGACACCTCCGCCAGCAGCACCTGAGCCCTTGGGGTCAAAGACAGCTGTTCTCCCAGAGCCAGGGAACCCGCACCAGAGACGAACAGAGCCAACCCACTTCAGGTGGGACCACTGAGTGCCAGCCTGAGGGGTAAGTACCTGTCGTGCTCACTCTGCAGCCTCCGCAGCTCTTCCTCCATGCCCCGTTGCCGGTGTCCGTCCTGCATCAGGCGCTCACGTTCCGCCAACAGAGCCACCTCCTGGGCCTCCACATTGGCCCTTTGGGCCTGCAGCTGCTCATGCCTGGTGGGCAAGGGACCAGGATGAGCAAGGGACCAAGAGGACTGCGGGGCCCCAGACCACAGCAAATGGGTGCTGGGATGCCTGAACCCAGGGATCTGTCATCTCCTGAGCATGAATTGCGCAAGGCAAAGCTATAGGGCAAAAGGCCATGGCAGGTGCCACTACTGCCAACAGGAGAGCCTCCCTAGAAGTGCGGTGGTCCAGACCCCCAGGATAGTACAGCAGTGCAGGGGTGTCACAGAAAGGGTCTGGCTGTGGCGATGTGATGCTTCCAGGTGGGTCAGAGCCACTGAGGGATCCCGGTCCAGGTAAGTGGGTACAGGGAATTGGGGGAGGCTCACCGGCCCTGCAGTTCCCTGTGGGCCAGCTCCAATGTCCGCATGTTGGCCTTGAGGTCACGGTGCCGGCCCAGCAGTACCTCCAGCTCGGCCTCCTGCCGCCGCTGCAGCTGTACCAAGGCCTCGTGGTCCCGCAGCAGGGCTTGCTGCTGCCCTCTTGCCTCCTCATGGGCCTGCCGTGCTGCGGAAACCTCTGCCTCCAGCACCCCCAGCTTCTGATGCAGTTCCTGGCCTTGCAGCTCCAGCACAGACTTCTCGGCCTGGGAAGAGGAGAGAGTGGGGACTTCAGGAGGTGGGGACCCCAGGCCCAAAAAGTAGGCAAAGGGCAGAGGGCAGAGGACAAGGGGAGAGCTGCAGAGAAGCAGGGGGATAGGGAAAAGCAGCTGAAGGCCAAGGCAGTGGACAAGGGGAGGAGAGAGCCAGGGTGGGGCCTAGTGGTGCCAGGCTGTGTGGGGGAGGGCAGGAGGCCCAGGGCAGAGACGGACAGATGGGGCTGGGGCTGGAGGAGGGGTGAAGGCTGGGGTGACTGGGGTCAGAGGAGAGGGGTAAATGTGTCTAGGGATCAGAAGTGGGGCAGCTGGCTGGGAGCTAGGGTGGGGCAATGGCACAAAACGACAACAAAAGGGCAACGGGGGGTGAGTAGGAAACAGGCACCAGCTGCTACCCACCTGTAGGTGGCTACTGTGCTCCTGTGCCCGCTGACTCTGCAGCAGCAGCTCCTGGGCCCGGTCCTGCAGGCTCCCCAGCTTCCCCTCCAGGTGCTGCAGCTGTCCCTGCAGAGCCGCCTTCTCAGCCACCAACGTTGCATTCTGTCCGGAACGTGAGGTCAGCAGTGGCCAGGCAGCCCCCCGCCGCCCGCACCCCCACAGCCACACTCACACTGCGCTCCACCTCGATGAGCCGGCTGCCCTGGGCCGCTGTAGTCTGTGACTCACGGTGCCCCTCAGGAGTCAGCCCCACAGGGCCCTGGCGCAGCTGCAAGGACAGGTCTGGGAGGTCATTTGGGAAGGTAGCAGTGGCTTGGGGATGGCACAGGGATCCATGCCGGTGAACCAGACCCCTTCAATGGGGCATCAGAAACAGTAACTGGGCCACTAGGAGGCAGTAGAGCCAGAGCCAAAGATGCAGAGCAGCCACCAAAAGCAGAGGTTCCGTCCGTCCTTTGAGATCAGACCCCGAGACAGCCACCCAACTGACTGACTCTCCAGAGTGCTCCCTCCAAAAGCCCCAGAGGGTATGTGATTCAAGCAGCTAGCCAAGGATTCAGGAACAAAGAAGGGCACAGGCAGCCTCAGATGTGAGCTTCAGGCTGCAGGAGAGACAGGCGAATTCCAGTTCCTGCCAACCTCACCTGGAGCAGCTCCTCTTCAAGCTTCAGCGCCCTGCTCTTGAGCTCCATCAGCGCTTCCTCCTTGCTGCTGGCCGCAGCTTTCAGCTCAGCCTCTAGTCGCTGCTCCAGACCCTGGTACCTGCCAGGAGAAGTGTTGGCACCCAGCCTCTCCCTTTCCTTCACCACCCCTGGGCACAACTCCAACCTCTGCTGCTGGTTCTCTTGTTCCTGAAGAAACTTCTGGCGCTCTTGGGCTGCCTGCTCCAGCTCCTGCTGCAGATGCTCCAGCCGGGACCCCAGCTCTTGGCCCCGTACCGTGGCCTTCTCTAGTTCCTGAGGGCAGGCAGAGCAGGCTCAGGGGGCTGGCATGACCCTCCACCCTCCTGAGGCAGAGGAGGGCTGGAGTCAGGCCTGAGCATGAGACATTGGATTTTTGTCCCTTCTGTCCTTTCTTGGCCACCCAGAATTTTCTTCTTCTTCTCATTTTGAGGCAGGGTTTTGCTAAGTCACTCAGTTGCTCAGACTGGGCTCAAACTCAGAATGCTCCTGCCTCGGCCTCCCACAGTACTGAGATTACAGGTATGTGCCACCACACCCAGTTATCTTTAACTCTTTGAGTCTCTACTCCCCCACCTATGAAATGGGAGCAAAGACTGCCTATGTCAGGCAGGGCGTGAAGGCGGCCCCTGGGCCAAGTCAGAGGTAACACTTGGCAAGCATCTTCACCTCTCTAAGGCCATAGCTCCTCCTGTGCCCAGGGACAGAGAACCGTGCCCTACGGGGCATCACATCAGCCCTGTGGGAGCAACAGGGGCCCAGTGGAGTTAGGCCTAAAGAGCATCCTTCACCACACGGGGCCAGCCTTGGTGTGCTGGCAGAACAGGAACTTGGGGATCGCAGGCCTAACCACAGTGGAGGCCAAGAGGGGACAGGGATAGGTCAAGGACTTGATTTTTGGCAGTTGGGACACACCATTTTGGAGGGAGGGGTGCTGGTTCTTTCAGGCCTGTGCCCACCCAGGAAGTAGACCAAACCATTCTGACACATGGGGCCCTGGCAAGATGAAGCCACAGGAAGGGCGACACTGACCTGCCACATCTTGCTCCTGAAAACCAAGCCTACAAGCCTCTACTGTTGAAGGATCATCTTGGCTGAACAACCCTACCAGCCTTGTTCTAGGAAAATGCTCTTCCTGATACACACGGCCTTGGCCTGTTGCTAAAAAACTACAAGTCCCACAAGGCACTGCTGCCTGGCCAGCCACCAACAGTCACTGGGGCCTGAGAGCAGCTGCACTAGGGAGAAAGGTTGTAGGAGAAAAGCCGGGCATGGCGGTGCACACCTGTAATCCCAGCATTTGGTAGGCTGAGGCAGTAGGATCACTGTGAGTTCGAGACCAACCTGGGCTACATAATGAGTTCCAGGTCAGTCTCAACTACATAGTGAGACCCTGTCTCAAAAAAAAAAAAAAAAAAAAAAAAAAGAAAGGAAAAAAAACCATTCTGACACATGGGGCCCTGGCAAGATGAAGCCACAGGAAGGGCGACACTGACCTGCCACATCTTGCTCCTGAAAACCAAGCCTACAAGCCTCTACTGTTGAAGGATCATCTTGGCTGAACAACCCTACCAGCCTTGTTCTAGGAAAATGCTCTTCCTGATACACACGGCCTTGGCCTGTTGCTAAAAAACTACAAGTCCCACAAGGCACTGCTGCCTGGCCAGCCACCAACAGTCACTGGGGCCTGAGAGCAGCTGCACTAGGGAGAAAGGTTGTAGGAGAAAAGCCGGGCATGGCGGTGCACACCTGTAATCCCAGCATTTGGTAGGCTGAGGCAGTAGGATCACTGTGAGTTCGAGACCAACCTGGGCTACATAATGAGTTCCAGGTCAGTCTCAACTACATAGTGAGACCCTGTCTCAAAAAAAAAAAAAAAAAGAAAGAAAGGAAGGAAGAAAGAAAGAAAGGTTTTAGGAGAAAGGAAGCAGCCCAGAGCCCTGCCCTGCCCCTGCTGGCCATGGCTGCAGCCCACAGGGCATCCTGGAAGCCCCTAGTTCCCTGACCTCCCAGCCAACCAGCAAGGCCTGTACCACACCCAGGCAGCACCAGGAACTGCTCTCAGCAGGAAATCCCACAAAATTCCCTCTGTCTCCAGCTTCTTCCACGCTCTGCGTCCTCTTCTGGCTCACCAGCCCTACCCTCTCTTTCCCCCGCCCAGGCATCCCTCTCTCCAGAAACCACACAGGAGGGGCCAAAACTGCACCAGGCTCTCTCCATTATCTTACAAGCTCTGGGAAGCAGGTATAGTTTTTATTCCAGTTTTACAGGTAAGGAAACCAGGACTCAGAGAGGTGAAGTAACTTGCTCCAAGCCACCCAGCTGAAAAGCAAATCTGGGATGTGATACATTTCCTTTGGCCTTATGGTATCTCTTGGTCACATCCTGCAGAGTGGACCCCAGGGACAGCCCTTTCCTCAACCTGTCACCTGCCAACTCACCTTCCTCAACCTCCCTTTCCCGAGGCTTCCTTGCACAAGGTGTAACCCAAGTGAACCCAACCATCTGGTGTTACCCACTGCTTGCCATCAGGAGGGGTCTGGGAAAGTCCTTCCTCCTCTCTGAATCTCAGCATACCTGTCCATGTAATGGCGGACCTGAAAGCCCGTGAATGCCAGGAAATACTGTTCCTTACCCATGAGGCCCTTACTCCCCACACTGCTACCCACTGGCTCCAATATGCTTCTGATGACCTTGTGGTAGCCCCAACTTCCCCTGAGGCATCTCTCAACACACACCTACTGCTAAACAAGCCCCAACTCCTTCCTCATGAAAGAAAGCAGGAACCCTACTTAATCTATCTCAGCCTCACCTCTCCAAGCCCCACCTCACACCCCTCCAGCTCATTCCTGGCTGTCTTTAACCCTTTGAGCCTCTACTCCACTCCGGCAGCCTTCCAGGTGAGCCACACCCTGAGTCCAAGGTGCCAGGCTGCCTGCTCACCGCCATGCATCCGAAGCCTGGTACAGGGCCTAGCATGGCCTGTAAAATAGGTGTGAATGGATGAAAACAAGTGGTCCAGGCCTTCTCTACCCTCTGTCACTGTCCCTGCCCATGCCAGCCTCACCTGCTACCTGCAGCGCTGCCTGCGCCTCCTGATGGCCCCAGGCTTCCAGACAATCAAGGTAACCCTCCTCAAACCCTGCCCCCAGAGGTCTGCCCACACCTAGCCTCACTGTTCCTGGGCCCCTTAAAGGCTTCATCCTTCTCCATCAACCCCACCAATGAAATCTTGGTCATTCTTCCTTGAAGTCTGCTGCCTCCACCTTCTTCCTCGGGCTCTTGTAGCATTTTGCCCCGAATGACCATTTCTTGGTCACTTACAGCATGCCTTGGTCCAACAGGAGCCAGCCCCTTTACGTCCTGATTGCCCCAGAGGCAGCTGGGAATGGCAACCTCATTTCACAGGTGCCACCAGCGCAGAGGCGAGTAAACTACTATAGCCAGAGTGCCACAATTGTACCTTCCCAGGCATCTTATCCCTCCCAAGGTCCACCCCATCACCAGCCACAGCCTGAGTCCTAGGGAGGCAGGGTGGACAGCCTCGCTTAGTGCTGAGCACTCAGTGACTACCAGTGGAATCCATAACCCCAAACCGCAGCAGCTACCCTGAGACCCCCATTTGCCACTGATCCTTGTGGCAAGAGCCCCAACCTACCTCACTGAGGGCCTGCTTCTCCTGGCGCTCCCGCTTGGCCTCCTCCAGGTGGCCTTGGCCCTGGCTCTCGAGTGCCTGTACCCGCTCCTCGGCAGCCTCTGCCCGAGCCCGAAGCCTGGGCCCCTCGCGTTCCCACTGCCTCCGCTCTCGACCTGCTGCAGCCAGGGCCTCTGCCAGCGCCTCTCGCTCCCGTGATGCAGCCTCCAGCTCCCGGCCAGCTGCCTCCACAGCTTCCCGCAGCCGAGTCTGCTCCTGGGCCTGGGCCTCCACCTCCTGATGGGCCTCAGCCTCTGCCCTACGTGCATGGGCCAGCTCCTCAGAGAGGCGGACTACCTCTGCACCCCTGGCTTCTAGCCTTCGGGCCTGGGCCTCCAGCTCAGCCTCCAGGGCCGTAGCCTCTGTCCTTAGCTGCACCAACTCCTCCCTGAGGGTGTCTTGCTCTGAGACACCACTACCCAGGGCTTGCTCTGAGATCGGCTCTTCCCAGGCTCCAACATCAGGGGCACCTTCAGAGGTCTGTTGTAACGGAGGGACTGGTTCTGTCACCATCCTCTCCAGCCTCTGTCCATGCCCTTGGGCCTCTGTTCGTCTGGTGGACTTGTCCAGACCCTGGCACACAGTCTCCTGCTTCTCCAGCAATACACAGAGGCTGATCTCTGAGGAACCCTGCTTGTGCTTGGGACCCTCCTTCCTTAGACCCTGGGCTTCAGGCATCAACTTCTTTTGAGGAGGCTGCATCTCCCCAGTCCCTCCTTTCAGCAACTGCTGCATCTCAGTTTTGATCTCTGGACCCTGATGAGGGACTACAGAAGTGGGTGATTGGAGAGTGGCTCCAGAGGTACCCTCCAGGGACCCCTGGGCCTTCATGCCAGCATCTGACTCTTGGGGGTTCAAGTGTGAGGTCTGGGGGGCTGGAGCAATTGCCTGGAAGGGCCTCTCTGTCACCTCTTGGTGTGAATCAGATGCTGGGGGAGTCTCAGATGATCCCTCCAGGCCTGAGTCTGATGCCGGAGGAGCCTGCTGGGGGTCTTGTTCCACCACGTGGCAAACCAAGCCCTGGGGGTTGTGGTCAGAGGCCAAGGGCATCCCGGGAGAGCCATCCAGTACCAGAAGCACGGACTCCCTGCTCTGCTCTTCCAGCAGGGGGAGCTGAGGGCACATGAGAGGGACAGTCAGGCCCAGGGAGGACAGGGAGGGGCCAGGTAAATGGTGGGCAGGACTCACCTGGCCACCTCTCTGCCTCTGCAACACCTGAAGCAGGCCTCGAAGCTCCTGATTCTCCCGCTCCAGGGTCCGCAGCTGCCCTGCCTCTGCCTCCCTCACCTCATCCTGCAGCGAGGGGGCTGCTCTGGGCAGGGGTGCTGCAAGTATGAGCGTCAGCATCTGCCTACACCCCCTGGCTCCCCACATACAGAGGATGAGGACCCAAGCCCTCTCTACCAGAGCTGCGGGAAGACACAGGCACCTCCACCCTAGAGCCCCACACACCCTCTGCAGGGGAGTCTGGGGGTGGCTCCAGACTGCGGGAGAGCTCCAGCTCCAGCTCCACGTTCTCTTCTGCAAGCTGGTTCACCTGATGCCGTAGAGAGTCCAGCTCCTGGGGGGTAGAGGGGCATAGTCAGCCCGGCCGTCCCCACTGTGGCCAGGCTAGGTGTGCAGACCACTGCAGACCACCGAGAGTAAAGGTAACGGGGATCCCCAGGGAACAGAGGGCATCTTGGGGTTGCACTCAGGCGACCTCACCGCATGCGCCTCGCCCAGCCGTGTGCGGAGCAGCAAATTCTCGCGCTGGGCCTCGTGTAGTCGGGCGCAGCGCTCTCGGGCAGCCTCCAGCTGCTCTTCCAGCAGAGCCTTCGAGGCCTCCAGGGTCCCGGAGAGCGCGCGCTCCTCCTTGTGGGAGAACAGGAAGAAGAACTTGGCCTGAGGTGTAAGGCAACCTGCGGGCCGTTCCAGCCCCTTGCCCTGGGCCGGCCAAGACCCTCCCTGCCTCCCTCACTGTCCGCCCTCAGCCTCCTCAAGATAGCCTGTCCCCAGAACACCGCCTCTCTGCGTGGACCCTCACCCAGCTTTCCCGGCCAGGACTGCTCCCCTCTCCCCAAAAAGCGAGACTCTCTCCACTCTGGGCCCTGCCCCGTCCCCTCCCGTGGGCCCGCCCTTCCGCGCCCCGC